CAAATCTCTGCAAATGATAAAACAAGCGTCTGCGTTATAACTTTTGTGGTGTATTTATCACCAAACCGCATTTTTTGCACTGTATTTTACTAAGAACCAGAAGCTGGATTCGTTGCTTGGGGCTTTCGTGTCTTGCTGGATTCATTCCTTCGGGCTTTCGATTTGGGCATTCACTCCTTCAAGTTGTGCTGCTGCTGCTGCTGCTGTTGCTACGGCTGTTACGGCTGCTGCTGCTGCTGAGAGCGTTGCAGCGTTCTCGGTACTTCTCGGTGTCGCTCTTTTGATACTGATGTTTCTGTTGCTGTCGCTGCTCTGTTGCTGTTAGATAGACCTGTTGCACGTTCGATGTAGTCTTTGTGTCCGCGTTGATATCGGTGACGCTGGTATACTGCACAAGGTGCACCTCCTGCAAAGCACGGCATGCTTCGCCAGGGTGCACCGAACCCACGCCATGACCTTGTGTTCTAAGCCAGAAATGTCGAAGATATGGAACTATCGTAGCATCGGTCTGTTTGTGTACCAGTTCGTATGCAATGGGCTAGATACAAACATGCTATGTGCTAAAACAGTTTGCCATTCCGGTTCGGCAAATGCTCATATATCCTGTAAACCACGCTGTGCAAGCATGGGTATATGGTGTGCAGGCAGGGTAGCAGCGCAGACATGCTCAGAGTCATACTGGCAGTGCCTCAGGGTACGCGTTTATTCGTGCGCACACCCGTTTGTACAGTGCATTTCGTGCCAGTTTGAGCCCATGTGCGCGACAACGCGCCATTCGACCAGCAATAACTGCCAACGCGACAACAGTCAGACACTGGCACTCCGAGCAGTCGAAGCTAGCGTGCGCTTGAATCTGTCAGGTTCTGAGCTAGCTCTAGTGCATCATGAAATCTACCAGAAGTTATCGCCACTTGATGACTTTAACCCCTTACCCACGCCGAGTCTTGGTTTGGGCCCACACCTTTGAATCTGGGCCCGAGATGAAGGGCTTGCAGTCCAAACACGGGGTTTTATCAAGAAAGTTTGGCAGCATCGCGCCCCAGTTCCTACGGTAAGTTTTGGCGACAAAAACAGCACATGCCGTGCTAACCAGAGCCGCTCAGTAGGTAAAGCCACTGTGTGCCAGGTCATGCAATTTCGCTCCACATGTTGCTAGGTCCGGCTAGGCACATGTCTTACAATCAGATCATCTGTACGAAACAGCTGCTGCATACATGCGTTGTTGCGTGTCCAGCATGGTCGACTATAAATTTCTCAAGATATCTTTTTGGTATGTGCACTGTCAATGCATGGCTAGGGCCTGGCCGTCGTGAGCCTACAAACCCCAAAGTAGCCATGGCATACAGAATCTTCCCAAGCTTCTACTCAGAAACAGCAAATTTGCCACTAAGGCTGATTTATCGGACATGGCTGGTTTCAGCCATGTCTGATAAGTTGGCCTGAAACGGGGATGCAGGGTTGCATCGCAGCACAGCGCTCCTCCGTTGGCAGTGCAGTGGTGGTGCAGTGGTGGCGTAAACGACGAAGTCGAGACGCCGGCGGTCGTGTGCTGGGACGCCTGCAGTGGTCGTATATGGGTGAGCCATTCCTGTGGCACGACCTGACCTTGGGCGCCGACGGCCTCGCGACGACTTTGGCGCGTCTGGCCCAAGCCCGTTCTCGGGCAAGCAGGGGCATGGTCGCCGAAAGAGTCCATGGCTCCACCATATTGGTTGGGGCCGCTGGTCGGAGGAAAGAGGCAGGGGCAGGCGCAATCGACGCCTCAAGGCAATCTGCTGCATCGCATGTGGCGGGATGCTGGTTGCCTTGTCGGCGCGATCGCGAGAGTGTACGGTCAGGGTCCGCGACGCGTGGTACTGCCAACCGTGCGGCCAGTCCGCTGGCGGGGCAGGGCGAGCTCAGGAGCGTGCGCCACGTGGGGCCAGCCTTGGTCCTGCAAGTTGCGACTTGCACGCGCCGCTTCCGCGAGACGGCTTCCGGGGACCAGGTCGCAAGCAGCCCGCATGTGGCTCCTCCGCGAGGTCGAAGGCTGCTCGATCCGGGCAGGGAGTGAGTGGCGGTCGTCACTCGCTGGGTCCACGTCCGTTCGCCGCGTGGGGCCCGGGCCGTCGCGCGAGCATCGAGCTCGGCGTCGTCTGGAGGGTCTGGGGATCTGCCAGCGTTTGAGCCGCAGAAGCGACTGCCACGCCTCCGGCCTCCGCATGGAAGAAGGGCTCGGCGACGTAACGTTGTGCCCTGCTGAAATTCCACTGCAGGATTCTGCACACCTGCATCCCATGAAATCAACAATATCACACCCGCATCCATACTGAGAACTTGCGCTGGGTAGCCAACCCCGTCACACCGCATGCCATTGGAGGACTTGGCACGGCTGCGATTTCTCGGCAGCACAACCACATCATCGCCGCTTTTCCGTCCAAGAACAGCTCGCCCTACTTGTACGCAGGTCCACGCGACACCACCAGTATTCCACTCGCAAATGTGGAAGACCTGCATCTCTGCGCCATTCTGCGCCAACCCCGCCGCAACCCTCTGCACCCGACAACTAACTCGGCAAAGCCATGCTTTTCTTCTACACACCTTCCAGATGCCTGTGCAACCCCATCATAGCACGACTACATCAAACCCACTTCATCCCACTTCCAATCGAAATCCTCCCACAGTTGCAGAGCAGCTCGGCAGCCAAGCATCGCACCCGTGACGTCCCGCGATTTGTCTTGATTCACGTCACCTGGGTTGCGGGTAAGAACGTGACACGACTGCGGTGCAGTTCCGCACCGCAGCCACGTCACATCCGCATTCCACGCGAGAAGATTGGGAACAGTTGAACCGCAACTCCGAAGCCCCAGTGCGTCAAACAGGTGGCTTCACTGCATGGCATCGTGGCAGCAAAACCTGATCAAAAAGTTCGCACAGCTGCGCTTCGGCTCCATAGCAGCCCCATGATACCAGCATTCCCCCGAGATGAACTCTGCACCGCAAACTTTGCATGCACATTCCCGTGGCCCGAGAACAAGCCACAGCTGCATCGTGCGCGAGAGTTTTGGCACCGCGGCATGGCAGCTCGGCAGCACAACCAAGTTACACCCGAATTCAAGTCGAGAACTTGGCACGGCTGCATCGCGGCACAGCAGAATTATCCGCCTTCCATTCGATATTTTGGCAGGATTGGCACGCAGTCAAGACGCACCCGCACAGTTTTCGAGAACTTGGCACAGTTGCACCGCAGCTCTGCCGCACAATCGCGACAGACAGCATTCCACTCGCAAACTTTGCACACGAACATTGCAGATCAACGGGATGCCCGCGTCACACCCGCATATCGCTCAGAAACCTTGCACAGCCGCATCCCAGCTCAGCAAGGCAACCACATTGCCCGCATTCCACAACAGAACTCGGCAAAAGTACATCACACGACGACGTAGCAGGCTGTCGCTCCAGCCGCATTAGACGAAGTCGCGCCACGGAGTCTGCGCCGAGGTCCAAAACCCAAACGACCAGTGGGAAGCGAGTGATTGGCGGCACCCGAAGCCAACACAGCCCAGCTGTTGCAACGGCTGCGCTCGCTCAACAACTTCAGAGATCCACCCAGGTCGCTCTGGTCAGGCGCGACTTTCTCTGACCAACGCATCCCTTTGGCCCTGCGACCTTCCTCGGCAGGCTTGTTGCGACGCCTTCATGCGCACCGGAGGGGAGTCTTTTAATCCGTGCAGCTCTGTTCCTGTCTTCGCGAACTCTCAAGAAGCCCGAGGTGCTGGAGCGTCCAGCGAGCCCCGGCGGCGCCTCGCCGCCTTCCGCGCCTCTCCAAGTCGAACTGCAGTCTTAGGCGACTCCACGTCCGACAACGCTCCCGGCCTTGGAGCTGGCAGGCGCAGGCCTTCGCCCGGTGAGCGGCGAGCCCAGGCCCAGGACCTCCCGCGAAAAAGGAGAAAGAAAGCACGCGGCACGCGCAGCGCGGAAACGCAGAAGCCGCAGAAGGCCTGGCGCGGCCAAGGCGAGGACGGCTGCTGGGCCAGGGCCAGCATTTCATCTTGGGCGCGGCTTGCTTGGCTCTCTTGGCTCAACGAAGAGATGAAATGTGGGGCTCTTCCTTGCTTGGCTGGCTTGGCCGGCCCGGGCCAATATTTGGGGGAGGTTTAAGGGGAGGGCATGCTCAGACTTCGCATGATTTCGTGATGGCTTCGTCTGAATCCATCCCTTGTCTCTGAGCCCGCAGTAATCTCCCGCAGTAGCCTGCGTTTGCCTGCATGTCAATGTGTCACATGCTCCCATGCCTCGATCTTCACTCTCGATCTCTAGGCAACGAGGCAAGTTTCCCTTTTGAGTCTCTTGGCCACCGAGGTCCTCCACTGCCCTCAGGGATCTAATCGCCTCGGAGGGAGCAGAGGGAGTCATCCAGTCATCCGCAGCCTTGAAAGCGGCTCTGCAGCGAACCCCGGTCAAGTTGGGGGCGGCACCAGTCTCTGAAATCTCCTGGCTGACTCGTTCCTTTCTGATTTTATTCCTCAGCTAAAGCTTCGGCTGTCGCGAACTGGGAAGTGCGCTGACGGTATGCTGGCGGACCTCGCCTGCTCCAAAGAAATGCACGGTGCGTTGCCTCAGGAGCCTGGGGAGCCGGCACCGTAGGTCGCCAGGCAGCTTCATCCTGCCACAGCCCGATCTGTGCGAAGTCTGTGCTTGTCGTCCCTTACTCGCAAGCCCTGTGCTGTGCCTGGTTCGAGTCGCCTGGCTGGCCTGAAAGGAACGGTCGAAAGCATCGTGTAGGGGACGAGTCCAACTTCCGGTTGCTGTGCCAGAAGCTGGAAGACAGGGAAATGGGTCTACAGTATCGACAGTCTCTGCATGGCAATTTCTTGTGTCCGTCCCATAACCAGCGATGTTCACAAGCGCAGGTAGCCTATGGTGAAATCCGACTTTAGTCTCATTCTTAGCCTTTGACGCGGAACCATGGCATTGAGGGCAAGGTGGTGCCCAAACAGAACCGAAGCAGTCGCGCTGGCCTGCATTGGAAGCAGACCGCACATAGTCCTGGCCCCGCCACCCAACAGGTAAGCAGCTGACGTAAGCAAAGACCACCCCTTTCCCCTTTGAAGCAAAAGCTGGTAGATGCCGTTCAGTCCTGTGGCTTGGCACCGATAGGAAGCCCAACGACTGGCAGTTGGCGGACACGCTAGAGGCAGAGAGAGAGAGAGAGAGCGACATGGACACTGGCAGAAGCCACACAAGCTGCGTTTGTGTGCATGTGTGCTCATAGAGTGGAGACGTGGCTGGAGAGAGAGAAAGAGAGAGAGAGAGAGAGGGAGGGGGAGAGAGAGAAAGACAGAGGAAGAGAGAAAGAAAGAAAGTCAGAGAGAGAGGGAGAAGACACCCTCGCACAGGTTCGCGCGCCATATGTAAGCTGTACATGCATGCATACAAACAAACATGCATACGTACGTACATACGTACATACAAACAAACATACACA